CCTCCACAGCCGCCGCTAGCATTTCCTAAATTGCCACCACCGCTTCAATTCCCGATTATCAGGCCCTCCGCGCCATCGCGATAAAGTGTGTTGGGGGTGTTCTCTTTTTTTTTTTCGTTTTGCGTTGCTTGCAGCCCAAGGAGTAATGGAAGGGAGAAAAGAAGTGATGTGTGGAAAAAAAAACTGTGCTGGTATATTTCTTGTTGAGCTCCCCACTCACCACCACCACCCATCCTTCCATCCGTCCCTACAATCCTCCACATTCAACGTACCACACTGCCCCTTTGAATCAAGTTTCTCTGTGGCACTCACGCTGGGCCCCTCGCCACCCCCGTTGTCTCTTTCCACTCTCTCTCTCTCAGGTCACTAATCCACGCTCAAACACCACTTGAAGGAAATAATAAAAAAAAAGAACACCGAGCTTCCGGTAATACCCCCAAAAAAATCCATAAAGGAAGTTGATGATGCGCCGTGTCAGTCAACGAGTAGCGCGGGAGGCATTCTCTCGTAGCACGCCTTCAAGCCGCCTGGCGGTTGCTGTGGCCTTCAACGCCCTCGCCGCCGCCCCCAGCCGCAGCCACGTTGCGGCTCTGGCCACTTCCATGCGTTTCTGTTCCACCACGAAGGGCGAGACAGCCGCAGCAGAGTCGTCGAAGCCGGCAGACATCACCGACGAAGATGTCGTCATCGACCCAGTGTCCACTGCGCGGGATGACGCCTCCTCCGCGAAGGACTCAACAGCGGGGGCGAAGGCCAACGACGACGCTGAGCGGGTCGTTGGAGCGGTGGAGGAAATGGGTTTCAGGACGGAGACGCGGCAGCTGCTCGACATTGTGGCCTGTAGCCTGTACACCGAGAAGGAGGTGTTCATTCGCGAGCTCGTGTCGAACGCGAGTGATGCGCTGGAGAAGCGCCACCTGCTGGAGGTGAGCAAGCCGGAGGAGTACCCGCGCGAGTCGGACGACGAAGCCCCGCTGATTGCCATTTCGTGCAACCAGAGCAAGAGCCGCTTTGTCATTCGCGACACTGGCATCGGCATGACGAAGGAAGAGCTCGCGGAGAACCTCGGCACCATTGCCGGATCAGGCTCCAAGGCCTTTGTGCACGAGCTGCAGACCACCGGAGCTGCCGGCCAGGCGGCGGAGAAAATTATTGGCCAGTTCGGCGTTGGCTTCTACGCCGCCTTCATGGTGGCAAAGAACGTCAAGGTGTACAGTCGCAGCGCAAAGAATGGCAGCAAGGGCTACCTGTGGGAGTCGGACGGCACCGGCTCCTTCTCAATCGCGGAGTGCGAGGGTGTTGACAAGGGCACGAAGATTGTTCTCGACATCAAAGACACAGAACTCTCTTTCTGCACCCCGCAGGTCTGCGAGCGCGTGCTGAAGAAGTACAGCAACTTCGTGTCGTATGAGATTATGCTCAACGGTGGAAAGGTGAACACGGTGGAGGCACTTTGGATGAAGGAGAAGAACGCCATCACGAACGAGGAGCATATCGATTTCTACAAGTTTATCTCCGGTGCGTACGACAGCCCCATGTTCCGCCTGCACTACTCCGTTGACGCCCCGCTGTCGATCCGTGCGCTGCTGTATGTACCACAGTCCCACACGGAGAAGTACGGTGGCGGCCGCATGGAGAACGGTGTCAACCTCTACAGTCGCCGTGTGCTCATTCAGTCCAAGGCCAAGGGCCTGCTGCCGGAGTGGCTGCGCTTCATAAAGGGCGCGGTGGACTCTGAGTCCATTCCACTCAATGTGTCGCGCGAGCACACACAGGACGGGAGTATGATGCGGCGCCTGTCGACTGTGCTCACGAAGCGCATCATCCGTTGGCTCGAGGAGGAGGCGAAGCAGGACCGGCAGAAGTACGAGCGCTTCATCAAGGAGTACGGGCCGTTCCTGAAGGAGGGCGTATGCACAGATCAGGTGCACAAGATGGAGCTGGCTAAGCTCCTGCGCTTCGAGACGACAAAGTCAGACATTGACTACCCGTTCGTCTCCCTCGACGAGTACCGCGACCGCATGCTGGCGAATCAGACGCACATTTACTACATCAACGCCCCCACACGAGAGATGGCACTGGAGTCGCCGTACTACGAGCAGTACAAAGATCACGATCTCGAGGTGCTTATCTGCACTGAGCCAATCGACGACTTTGTGATGCAGCACCTCGATACGTACGCGAAGCATAAGCTGCAAAATATTGAGATGTTCGACGCCACCCTTGACGGCAGCGTGCAGCACAAGAAGAAACTTGAGGGCGACAAGACAGACGTGAAGGTGGAGAAGCAGCTGACGGAGGCGCAGGTGAAGGGGCTCAGCGACTTCATTGCAAAGCGGCTGGTCGGCCGCGTGGGCGTCGTGAGGCCCACAACACGCCTGCGCGACAGCCCTGCCGTCATCGCCGACCACGAGTCAGCGCAACTGCGGAAGATTTACCGCGTGACAGGGCAGATGGTCGGCGCCCCGCCAAAGTACAATCTGCACATCAACCCGAAGCATCCGATTGTGCGGAAGCTGTACACGCTGTCCATCTCGCCCAAGTCGGAGGAGGTGGAGACGGCCGGGCTGCTGGTGGAGCAGCTGTTTGACAACGCTGTTATCTCCGCCGGGCTGCTGGAGGACCCGCGCTCGATCGTTGCGCGCCTCAACAACATCATGTCACGCATGGTGGAAAATGTTGAGGAGCCGACGGCAGACAAGTAGGGAAGAGGCCCTGCACGGCTCCGAGTGTGTCTGTCGAATTTTTTTTTTGTGGGGGGGGGCTTTCCCACCGTTTGTTCGTAACAGCAACGACGAAAGAAATAAAAAACGATGACGGCACACACGCAGACTCTCCCACATGCGCTCTTCAGAGGTGAAGCGCCAAAGTTAAGTATTACACCTATTATTATTATCACTACTACTATTATTTATCATCATCATCATCATCATCACATAACGTCGAGTTGGATACAAATAGGTCACGGAGGCAAACAACAACAACAACAACAACAACAACAAAGCTAGCAAGGAAAACAAAAGTTCTGGAATGAGTCGGCAGGAGACATTGCACAAGCAGGCGTGCCAATGTCAGCACCACCAGCAATTCGTTTCGATCATGGCGGTGTTGCACGCACGACGTTAAGCTAAAGGAGGAATGTCCGCGTTGTTCATGAAGTCTCGCTCCCCTTCCAGCACAGAAAGAAAACGCACTGGTTCCCCCGTTATACACTGCCCTCTCAAGCGATATGCACAGTGTTATTATTATTATTATTATTATTATTATTGTTATTTTTTGTTCGTGTGCGCGTTTTTCCTCTTCCTGCTGCTTCTTTCCCTCTTGTTTCTCTCCTCTCTCTCTCTTTCTCTGTATGCGGGTGCGGGTGGAGCGGAATGGGCGGGCACTCCAAGAAACAGGGGAAGGGCGGTGGCGGTGGCGGCGGCAGTGGCAGTGGCCGCAACCGCCCACCTGAGCAGCGCAAGAAGTTGACAAAGGACCCCGGTGTGCCGAACCTCAAGAAGGCCGCCCAGAACTTAACGCGGACGGCGCAGAATCGCAACCGCAGCGTCTTGAGCATTCCCGCTCTGCGCGGGACGTCTAACCTCCCTTCCATAGTCTCAAAATCCCTCGGTGCTTCTGACGAGCCACACCAAAACGAAGAGGAGCGGCTCGCAGCGGAGCGGCGTGCCATGATGACACTCGCCATCCAGTGCGCGGAGAAGGCTCACCACTACGAGGCGCCGCAGCAGTGGATGGAAGAAGCAGACGATATGGATCGCCTGCACGAGGATGTGGACCGGCGTGGCATGGACAAGTCACTGCGTCGCTTTTATAAGGAGTTTCAGAAGGTCGTGGAGAACAGCGACGTGCTTCTGCAGGTCGTGGACGCACGCGACCCACTCGGATGCCGGCTCACACAGCTGGAGCGTGCCATCCGCTCCCAGTACGGCGACGACCGGAAGAAAATGGTGGTGGTGCTCAACAAAGTGGACTTACTCCCGTCAAAGGAGGTGATTGACTCGTGGGTGCACTTCTTTGAGGCCCACGAAGGTGTTGCGTGCATTCCGTTTGCAGCCACAGCCAAAGGGGCAATGGGCCACGGCTACATCGCAAACATGTTCCGTCGTCTTCGCGCACTTGCGCTGAACGAAGAAACAGGCGCACGCAAGGCCATCGTGGTGGGGGTCATTGGTTATCCAAATGTTGGTAAAAGCTCCGTAATCAACGCCCTCAAACGTAAACACGTTGTTGGCGTAGGTAACATGCCAGGCTTCACGACGGGAAATACAGAGGTGGAGTTGCGCTCTGACATCCGCGTGATGGACTGCCCCGGCGTCGTGTCGCCTGGCGAGGACAACGGCGACGTGGTGCTGCGCAACGCCGTGAAGGTTAGCGACCTGGCGAATCCCTTTACCCCAGTGCAGCGACTTCTGCAGCGATGCACGCAGCTCGACACGGACGACGCAGTCGGAAAGCAACTTCTGGCGGCTGGGGTCCACCCCCTGGCGCTCTTCTACAACATTGGCTCCTTTGACCCCAACGACACCTTGGCCTTCATCCGCCTTGTGGGACAGCGGCGGGGCCGACTACGCCACGGTGGCACCGTCGACGAGGAGGGCACTGCCCGCATGATTCTGCAGGACTGGAACGACGGCCGCATTGCATACTACACGCTGCCACCCACTTCAGACCTGTTTGACCGTGGGGTGCTGACAACAACGGCGGAAGAGGATGCGACAGCTGACGCTGACGGAGTGTATGGGGGCCCGCGGGTGGTGGCGTCTCTCGCGGCGGGGCTGCAGTGGGACGCGCTGCCGACGTTTCACCTGTCGTGGGGCGGGGTAGAGGGGAAGGGGCGGCGGCGCGGCTTCCACGGTGGCGAGGACAGTGACGTGGAGCTGTAGCTGCACCTTTCCTGGGCCCTGCTCAAGCAACAGTAGCTGCTGCATACATTCTTCCGCCTTTGATTGATAACACAAAAAAGGAAAAGAGAGGGATATGATCATCAAGCCGTTTAAAAACAGAAGATTTAAAAGGATCAGCGCTGCTTGATGTGGTGTTAGTGGCGAAACATCATTACGAGCCAACACAAGTTGAAGGAGCACTGCGTTCTCTTCCCCCCCTTCCTCCTCCTCCTCCTTCTCTTCCCCTTCTTCTCTCGTTTGTCTCCATCCCATTGGGAACAAATGAGCGCCCAAGTAGAGTTAAGGCTAGGGAAAGGTGGAATCGACTGGGCGCGCCATGTTCCACGACTCCCCCATCGCTCCAGCAGTAACGGTGCAGCGACGCCACAATGCGGGTCGTTCTGTACGCAGGCACTACAAGCTGGACGACGTGGCGGCATTCATCATGCGCGGAGCTGCCGCTTCGTCTTCCACAACGTCGGAGACAGCACCATTCCGCCGCGTCGCGCTGCAATTCCCTGATGATCTGCTGGAGGACGCTGTTGCCGTGACGCAGGCGCTGAAGCAAATTCTAACTGCCGATGCGCGCTGTATAAACGCCGTGGCGGACGCCAAAAGCAGAGAGGGTGGGGAGCAAGCCGTGGTAAAAGAAGGTGACACGAGCATTCATCTCTTTGTGGTGGCTGACAACACCTTCGGTTCGTGCTGCCCTGACGAAATCACTGCACAGCATTACCATGGCGACTGCATCATTCACTTTGGGGATGCGTGCATGAGCCGGTCGACACGCATACCCGTGTTTTACGTTCAGGACGACTTTCATTTCGCAGCCTTCGTGGGCCACTCAGACGAGCAGGCGCTTTCGGTGCACGCCGTGGTGCGTGCAGTAACGATCCTGCAAGAGCGTTTGAAGGGGCTGCACAGTTCGTTGGAGGGGAAACACGTGGGCGCACGCATCGTATTGGTTGTTGTTGGGAGTCACCGCTCGCGCAGTCTCATCATCGCCGCGGCGCAACGCTGGCGGGACGAGAAGGATACAGCAGCAGGGGTAAATGGACCCGACGAGGTGGCCGTCGAATGGTGCGGCTTTGAGTCCCTTACCACAACGGGTATGGCACAACAGGCCACGCCCTCACCCAACACAGACTCCTCATGGGTGATCAATGGCGCCAACTTCTCCTGTGCTGATCACACAACGCTGCAGCACTTCCTATTTGTTGGCCCGTCCAACGCGTCGTTGCCGCTGCATCTTCTGAATGTGCACCAGTACAACCTTTTCCACCGCCCTGAGGCGTTGCGCGAGGCCGTGTGTGATACTGATGGCCCTGCCGCGCTGACAATCCTTGACGAGTCATTTGGGCGCAGCAGTGAGGCACGTCTCACCACTCAAGCTAGTGCTCTTGGGAATAACGCTGCGACGGATGCGGCGCTGGAGGCGTACTTCTCCCACAGCACCAGCGGTTTTGCTGTCGTGCAGGTGGCACTAAATAAACGCGCGCGTCAGCGCGCGTACAATGTGGAGCTCATCCGCTCCAGCGCTGCTGTTGGGATTGTAGTGGCCTCTCTGGCCATTGAGGGATACTACGAGACGACGATGCTGCTCCACAAACTGCTCCGCGCGTACGGCAAGCGGGCGTACATAATCTATATTGGCCACCTTAATCAGTACAAGATCGCAAACTTTGTGGATACTGTCGACTGCTTTGTGGCCATTGCGTGTCCCAACAGCCGTGAGGGTTACTTCCCTGGCAAGGACGATGGTTTTTCCAAGCCGATCGTCTCTCCTGTGGAAGTATTGCTCGCGCTAAGAACGGAAGACGGCGATTCTCCACTCTACGGTCACCGGGCTGTGTACAGCACGACATTTGACTGCGTGCTTCCGCCACTGCGCGAGGCCATGCAGGCGATCGAGAGCGATCGCGCCAAGGAGAAGACAGCCACTGTCGCGCTGCCACAAGAGGGCGGGAGTGGGGCCGCATTAATCCGCGCATCTGCAGGAACTCTTACCACACAAGGCGCTAATGGGGCGTTGATTCGCCTCCACGAACGCACTTTTGTGGGGCTTGACCCGAAAACGGGACAGACGCCGGTGCAGGCGGAGATACTACAGGGGCACCACGGTATTGCCCGCGGCTACGCCACCGAACGTGAGCAGCAGCAACAGAAACCAGAGGAATGATGACCGTTGTAGCTTCTCCTTTTTCGAGTAAAGTGGAGTGACTCCTCTTAAGTGTATGTGATGTGTAGGCTGGTGTGTTTGTGTGCGTGTGTGTAGTCGCCTGGCTTTCACCTGCTGGGGGAGCCCTCTCTTTTTAATCTAAGGAAGACTTCTCTCTCGTCTTCCCTTGTTCTTCCTTGCCGAAGCCCATTGACTACTGTGCCCATGCCATGGACGTGCTATTCAGACTACTGAACATGTCGATGTCGGGGTCCGAGACGACGAGGCGTCTAGGGGAAGAGGGCGAATCGATCCTTGTGGCGCCAACGACTTCAACAATGCATGTGTTCCCGACGAGCCGCACCCGTTTCGGCGAGAGCTCGACCTCAGAGGAACCGCCTGTGTCCAACATATGTACAAACTGCGGCGTAGATGCACTGGATTTGTGTGCGTGCCCGTGCGGCCAGGCGACATACTGCAGCACCGAGTGCCAGTGGGTTCACTGGTCTGTACACAGGCAGGTGTGTTGGCATGGGCGCAAGGGCCGCCACATGCCATTGCTTTCGTGCTACTACTGCTCCCGCAAGTCGTACACACTGCGGCAGTGTCCCTGCGGCCTCGCTGTTTACTGCGACAGAGACTGCCAGATCGCAGACTGGCCGCGACACAGGGCCACCTGCGCACGCTCGGGGCCACTTAAGAAACCGCTGCACGTTCAACACCGCACTGACGTTGCGGTTCAAACCGAGAGTGTCTCAGGCGAGTTGGAGGGTACGGCTCAGATAAAGGCATTGACACCGCGACGTGGTACAAATGTTCGATTCGCCCCCATGGTTGCTGGACATAGAGTCGAGTGGAACGGCAATCCTTTAGAAGGTAAGGACTTCTCTTCTGTCACTGTCGGTGGAAGCAGCAGCACCACAAACCCGGTTTGGCGCCCCTCCGAGGCGCGGGGTGGGTTGTGGAAGGGCTTCCGTGACGCCGCCGCGCAGCAGGCCAGCCGCACCATGCAGCAAGAGACGGGATTTATCGACTTTGATTGCGTAGACTGCGAGAGTGAAGCCAGCACATCGTCAGACAAGGACAATATCCAGACCAACGACGACTCGGGACGTTTCAGAGAAGATCCAGCGCACAAACGTTCAACGGTGGAGTTGCAATACCCTTTGAAAGGATTTAAGGGCAGCAGTTCGCTCCACAACCCACTCGAACTACCAGTGGGCGATAACCCGCTGATTACAGTCCCCATTCGCACAACTTTTGACACGCTTCCCGGTCTGGCTAGTTATCTTGCGAACCAAAATAAGGACAGCGGCATTATCGTCGTGTTGGCATCGTTTGCTAATTCCATCGCCGAGGAGACGGCGGCGCGGCGTATGATTAGCAATGAGAGCAAACGGGAGCATGCGGAACTAATGCGGCGGTTTGTGTTGGGACGGGTGCGCATCGCCCTCTCGGAGATGAGCACGCAAGAAGAAAGAGAACGGAAGAATATTTTGACAGATAGTATTCTGTGGCGCCGCAAAACGGCGTACCCTGCGTACAAGGAGCTGCAGAAACTGCTGGGGCTGCACCACTACCACCAGTGATTGCCCCAAAGCCATATTGCCGGCCAGTATGCACATTTTTTGTTGTTGTTGTGTATCCCTTTCTCAATTCCTCTTTTGCCTTGTCCGCTTCTTGTGGCTTTCCCTCTGGTGCTGTCTGGCTAAGATCCAGAACTATGGATGAGTTTTTTGTATTATTATTATTATTATTTGCTCGTAGATTGTTGTTTTGTTTGATAGGCTTTCTTTTTTCGGCTACGCATTGCTTTTGGGGGGCTATCGACGATTGAGAACGTTCCGCTGCGTCTTCTGTTGTCATTGCTTGTTTTTTTGTTTGTTTTTGTTGTTNTTTTTTTTTTTTTTTGCAACAGAGCGAGGAGAGGAACGAGCCAAAGCCTATTTGATACACTGCGCGAGAGAGAAGATAGAGTAGGGGATGATGCAGCTGAGCGGTGCATGGTTGCTGGCGGATCTTGATGGGACGCTCATTTCGACCCCACACAAGGCGCATGGGCAGTACCTCTCGCTGGAGCAGAGTCCGTGTCTGGACGCTATCCGCCGCTGGTTGCTTAACGGCGGTAACGTTTGCGTCGTCACTACCGCTGACAAACGTGTCCTGGGCCAGTTGTATACCCCGCTGAAGCCGATCTTGAGGGACGCGGCCGGCCGTGGCAGATGTGGAGAGCTGCTACTGAGCCTTTACACTGGCGCAGTGCTCTATCGCTGCACAGCGGACGGCGTGGAGATTGTGCGCGACTACGCCGAGTCGACGCACTGCGCCACTGGCGAGGCGGTCGAGCTGTCGCACCGCTACGGGCTGCAGTTGCACCACACCGTCGTGGCGAGGGTTGGGCCTGACGGCAGGAGAGCCACCGCGCAGGTGGCGTGTGTGAAGGGTACATGCTTCACACTCGATGTCTGTGAAGCGCTGCTGGAGCGCGTGGGACGCATCTTCGTCGATCTGGTGGAGAAGGCGCTGTGCGGGGAGCCGGCGGTTGTTGCAGCGTTCGACGGCATGTCGGCGCGCTACAAAAAGATGTGGCGACTGATGTTTGCCTTCCTAGACGCACAGTACACGAAGCATGGTCGTGGCGCAGTGACGCCAGCGGAGGTGGCCGCGTGGAAACGTGACTACTTGTGGCAACGGCGGCGGCTGCTGCGAGCGCTGGGCATTATTCGCGTTGAGCTAGCCGACTCGCACAGTCTGCCATTGTATCACAACGCAGCAGCAGTGGAAGATGAGGAGGCACGGCGGCTGAAGGCGCAAATGCTGCGCGTCATTGGTGACGACACGACTGCCTCATGCAGCTTCGTGGACTCGATGCTTCGGCTACTCGGCACCGAGCCGTGGGATATGGACGGTGGAAGCAGCAACGAACAGGCGGCGTCCGCAAGGGCCGGTGTGGCGCAGGTTATTGTGGTTGGCATCCCGCTCCGTCTCTTCTCGAGCTGCTTCGATCTGCACATCAAGGCTTTCGCCCGCTTCGGTGTGACGGCAATTCCCCAGCCGAACAGCGTTGTCTTCTCCAAGCTGGGCGTCTGCAAGTCCACCGTCATTCGCTACCTCATGGGGCGAGAACTGTGGCCGCAGGAGGAAGACCCGTCGCGGCAGGATGTTTCTGGTTGTGGGCCGAACGTCGCTCGCGCACCGTCTCTGCGCGGCGTAGTGAACGCCGCGACAGCCATTGCACTGGGCGACAATCCTCACACCACCGACTACGAGCTGACGGTGTTCCCGCAGTTGTTGTTCATATCGGTCGAGCGGGCGGAGCAACGCTCCAGCCGCCATGCCCACATTCGCGAGGCGGCAGGGGCGTCGCTTACCTGTCGACGCGGCCCCCTGATGGACGATCGCCGCCTGCCAAACCTGCGCTATGTTGGCGGCGAGGAGGCGGGCACGGCGGCGTTTCTCGCGGCGCTCATGAATGATCTGCACGTCCCCACTAAGGTGTCAGTGCTGCCGCCGTCGCAGCAGCAGCAGCAGCAGCGATTGGAGCGGGATGCCTTCGCGCACGCGGTGACACATGCCGCCGCGAAGGCCTTTGCTGCCGTGGGTGCGGCACCGTCACACCTGTAGCGCCTGCACAGGCACATTTGTATTCTGGCGTGTAATCAAGGAGGAGGACGAGTGAGACGGGCTCACGCACACACATTGGCACGCTTGGAGGGAGGAGGGCGCACGGTCAAAGTAATGTGCTGCGAAGTATTGACTGCTGAAACGCACTCGATGGCCTGATTTCTTGATTCTCACATCTGCATTGTACAGTTGAGCAGGCGCTTCTGCGGAAGCGATGGTGAGTTCGCAGAGGAGAGCAACGCAATCAAAAACAAAAAANTACAGTTGAGCAGGCGCTTCTGCGGAAGCGATGGTGAGTTCGCAGAGGAGAGCAACGCAATCAAAAACAAAAAAAACACACAAACAAAAGCGGGCGAATAATGTGGAACCGACTATATTTTTTTATTTCCCAGAAAGATATGAAAATGGCCAATTTTGTCTCACTTCAAAGCAAGCAAAATAATTAACAAAGAAGATATGAAAGCCACTTCTTAACAGTATCGTGTCGCGCGGGGCCTGTGCTGCTGCTGCTCCTCTGCGGTCCCTTCTTGTCCCCGTCTGCTGCCAGCCGCCAAGCTGTCCCTCTTTCTCCTCACTCACAGAGATGCACCATTCAACTGTGTGAGTACGGTGCATCTCGTGAAGCACTCTGTGAGTTCTTTGACCCCCTTCCCTGCTACTGCCTTTTTTCTTTACCCCCCCCCCCCCNTTTCCCCCCCCCCCCCTCTTCTGCATTGTGTGTCTGTGTGTAGATACTACCAACGCTTTTTCACAAGGATCATACCCCGTAACTAACCGCAACCCCGACCAGCATGTCGAGTGACCCCGCCTTCCGCCTCGAAGAGCTGCAGTCGCAGATCAACGTCCGCAACGCCGCGTTGCAAGCGCGCCTGGACTCCGTCATGGGCGAAACCGGTGAAACCGAGCTGCCGCAGCTGGAGGAGCTGAAGGAGGAGCGCGTGCGACTGATGCGTGATATCCAGCACCACAAGGACGAGGGTGACGCGAAGCTCGTGCAGATCGAGGCGCATGAGGGTGCGTCCGCCATGTACCGCGTGGCTGCGCGCGTGCAGCGCTTCGAGGACTTTGCCAACCACGCCGCCGAGTACGTGGAGAAGGAGCTTCCGGAGGAGATCAACCGCGTCGCGGAGGCCGACAAGCGCCACTCTGAGGACGAGGTCGCGGCGTACATCGCCGACTTGCAGTCGGAGCGGGCGGAGGAGCTGCGCAAGATCAACGTGCTGAAGGAGCGCACGGCTAAGCGGGCGAAGGAGATCCGTAACGGCCCCCGCGTCGAGCACGAGGAGGTGACAGCCAACAGCCGAGCCATGAAGCCGAAGGAGGACGAGATCGATCGCGAAACGAAGGAGACGATGAACTACACGGACGAGGCGAAGTCGACGAAGGGAGAGCTTGTGGCGAAGATCAAGAAGCTGCGCCAAGAGAAGTCCAAGCTGCAAGTGAGCCTGCTGGATGCGAAGCACAAGAGCGAGAAGGAGATCCATGAACTCGAGGCATCCATCCGCCGCGCGGAGATCGCCAACACGCGCGATGTGCGTCTGTGCCAGCAGCTCAACACCGGAAACGCCGCTCTCACAACAAACGCGCAGATTCTGCTTGGTCAGTTGAACGTGGAGCACTACGGCGTGGAGGGCGGCCCGACAGAGAAGATGCTGATCAATATGCGCCAGGAGGAGGCGAAGACAGTTGTCGCGGCAGCAGAGAACGGCAACAAGACCAACGGTTGCAACGGGGGCGGCACGTACCAGCGCAACGACACTGAGAACTCCAACGGCGCCGCATCCGGCGTCTCTTCGCGCCGCGCATCGATCCCGTCGAAGCCCCCACTGGTGGCGCTGAAGCGCACTGAGTCGCAGCGCAACCGCGATGCCGCCACGGAGCAGGAGCGGCGTGAAAAGGAGGAGGCCGCCAGCGTCGGCATCTCCCCCGCACGTTCACGCGGTGCCGACTCTGTGCATAGCGGAGCCGCGGTGAAACCACCTCTGGTGGCGTCGAAGCCGACGTCGAGCCAGCGCAACCGCGAGGCGGCGGTGCGGGCAGACTTGGAACACCGCCGCGAGGAGGACGGCTCCGCGGCGCGCAGCCAACGCCGCGGGTCGGAGTCGTCGCTGCCGGCCGTCGCTTTGATGAAGACGGAGTCGTCGCGTAACCGCGAGGTGGCGAGCCGCCGCGACTCCAAGAGCAGCAGCCCGCAGTAAGGGGGTAAGAACAGCGGCGCAATGCGAGGAATACAACCAAAATATTTAAGAACAAAGAACACAAAACAGAAGCGTCAAACGTAAAATCGGAAGGGGCCTTTTTCTTAAGCAGAAACACAAAAAAACCGAAGGAAGGCAGGAAAGGAAAAAAAAAAATCATGTAGACGGGCGAATCGAGCATACCCCACCAAACACCTCTTCCCAACCAGAGACAAAAAAGAAAAAAAAGAAAAAAAGAAAGGGACCTATTGAAATCTGTGTAGCTGATAGTGAACTCGATGCGACTTGTCCGCCTTTTAGCGATGATGAGGCGCCTTTTCTTCCCCCCTTTTTCCGTCCTTGTTGGCTTTTTTTTATTCTCTCTCTCGGGAATACCTTCTCTTTTATACAGCAGCTGTACTACATAATGTATCATCTTTCACGCCATCTTCCCTCCCCCCATTTTTCCACTGCGCTGCCGACACCCGAACCCGGGGGGGACGCGCATCCGCGTCTCGTGCCGGCAGTGGCGGCCGACTGTGAAACGAATGAATACCTGAAAGAGCAAAGTTAAAGAAAGGAAAAAAAAAAAGAGTGGTATGGCGTGACTGAATGATTAGAAATAGGTAGAACAACTACTTCCGGTGTGTGTGTGTGTGTGTGCTTCCCGGATTTACTGTTGTTCTCTCCACAAATGGAGGCGCTGTTGCCTCTCGCGTGATGCAGTCTTCCATGATGTGCAGAGATGTGTGCATGCTTGTCGGCGTGCACACCTGTTTGTTTACAGCTTTTGCTGCTTCTCTCATGTGGTTTCTCCCCCATTGTTATGCCCTATTCATTGGATATAGAAAGGGAGAGAGACAGAAGGAGGGGTGCATGCGTGAAGGGTCAGCCGTTGCACCGCTTCTGCCCTCATGATCATCACAGAAGACGTCTTCGCGTGCTTCCGTGCGTGGAACCGCGACGCGGTGGCGCGTGCCTTCCTGGCGGGCGACGAAGAAACGGTTGTGTTGATGTCAGCGATGAACATTGCGCCGGGGAAAATCACGGTGGCGGCCCCTTCTAGTGCGGGCACGGCTGCGCTCGAGGTTCACACCCGGTGCTGCCGCGCCTCGAAGCTTCTCTTGGAGCAGGACCGTCTGCAGTTACTGGAGCTAATGCGAGCAAGGCCCCTCTGCCCAACGCCGAGCAGCAGCGCAGACGCGGATATACCACCCGCTGCGGTGCATTTTGACGCAGATCGTTCTAGCATCATTGCGCAGCTGCAGGTGGGCCTTCACTCGTCCTCCTGCTGGTGGCGCATGGGGGATGTTGTGCGGCACATCTTCAAGGCACCGCGGCTTTCTTTGGTGGACTCCGCACTCATTCGTCACCGTTGCTCAGCAGTACTGATAGTAGACAGTAAAACGGCGGATACGGCTGGTCGCAACGTGGCCGCACTCAGTGGTACAGCTCCCTCATCGAAACTGCTGTTACCTAGGGGAGCAGCACCATCATTTTTTCGTGACACGGTGCTTCCTCCCACAGTTAAGTGGATGCGTGGAAAAGTGACACATTCGTTTGGCGGTTTGACGAGTAGCACACCACTGGGCCTGTTGCGGGTTATATTTGCGCTGAAGAGAGCACGGCAGTCGGACGAAGGCCACAGTCATAGTGATGGTGGCAACAACATCGATGGAAGCAGCGACGATAGCATTGATCTCGTGCCTCCTGTTACTCTGGTTATGTCACTCTACGGCTATGTAATTGCAGAGGCCACGCCGTGCGGCACATCTGATGCTGCTGGGGTGGACAACGCATGGCAACGACTATGTGCAGATGCCTCCTGCCACTTCTGTGGCGAGAGACCCCGCCTGATTGTTGAGGAGACAGCCGCACATCATCATCATCATCAGCAGCAGCAGCAGCAGGTGGACGAAAAAGATGTGAATGAGGAGCCACGCCCACCGATCCCGGTGCAGCACCCTGAGGCAGAGGGCACTAATGACGAGGAGAGCAAGGCGCAGGCGCAGGGGGGAGATGTGACGACAGAGACGATGGGAGACCACGAGGAGGCACCCACGCATCAAGTTGCAGAAGATGAAGAGAGCACCACTACCAAGAAGCTCGAGTCCCAGCACAAGTGCTTCCGCTACACCATCCTTCTGAGTGAGCAGAGCGGCTGTTCTGGCCACCACGACGCCTGTCCGTGGCGGGCGCTGTTTCTCCGCCCTGTACTCGCTGAGGCCGCTTCGGCATCACCGTCCAGAGAGATGGAATTTGAGTTGTGCAACATTGATGAAGAGGGGAGTTCGCTGCGGGTGTGCTTCAGGCTACCGGAGGTGGCGAAGCTGATGGAGTGCTGGCGGCGCAGCTTGTACGCCGAGTCGTCGTGGGGGGAGGCCTACGCGAAGCACCCGCTGCCAGCAGCAGTGCGTTCAGTCATCCCGTCTCCTGCTGAGCCGGGGGTGGAGGATTTCCTGAAGAGACTTCGGTCGCAGTCTCCTGTGCAGGAGGCCTTGAAACTGCACCCACGCACACCACTTTTCGAGGACTGCAACTTTTGGGACAGTTTTTTCCGTGTGGCATCCTTGGTGAGGGCAGCACAGCAACCGCAGTCGGCGGCTATGGCTTCTGCTGCTGCTGCTGCTGCAAAGAAGCGCGTGGGGGAGGAACAGAAGGAGAGTGGAACTTATTGGGAAGCGGTATACGACGCTGGGCGTCGTTGCATTCTGGCGGCAGCGGAAGACAGGGACGAGGGAACGGCCGCAGCGGCCTCCGAGACGTTCACAGAGCTGTACCAGCAAAGCCTCCGGCGGGATGCGGCAGGAGGGCAGTCGTCCTCGCCTCTCCGAGGGGTGATGGGTAAACTCACGGAGCTGCTGCACGCTGGGCCAAGCATCGTTCCCCGCCGAAGCGAGGCTCTTTTGGAGGCGGCACCTGAAATGCCGCAGCTCTCGGTGCAGGATCAGAAGCGTGTTCAGTCGTTCCTTGAAATGATTGACAACGACGTGAAGAACGCCGCACGAGAGCCCCCGCCACCGCAGCCGAAGCCGCAGCCGCAGCCGCAGTCTTCCCTGGCAAAGCGACCACCTCCAGAGGTCAACAACAGCGACAGCAACCCGAAGCGGGGAGGTCAAAAGCCTCAGCAGAAGCCACAAAACCCACAACAGCCCTATCCAAAAACTCCACCACCACACCAACAAAAACAACAACAACAGTATCAAAAGCAGAAATTGCAACAACACCCACTCCGGGTGCACATTGCCCAGCCGCATCACTTTCACCAGCAGTCTCCCTTACCATCGGAAGGGATCCTTCCATTTCCTAGTGGTGGTGGTGGTGGTGGAGTGTTGCCGTCGCCAGGGCCCGTCCTGCAAAAACAACAACAACAGCAACAGCAGCTGCAGCAATCTTTTCAGCCAGCCGTGCAGCTGTCTCCGTTCGTGGGTCATAACCGTACCACAGTGCTGGCCGCAGAGAATGTGGGTGTGCTAGATGACGCGTACATTCAGCGGTCGCCCGCCTCTGGGCCGTGTCGCCCGATGAGTGGAAACTTTGCTGCTGAACGGAAGGGCGGTCGAGGTGGGAACCACCGCGGTGGGAGGGGTGGCGGCAGAGGCAGGAGGGGTGCTGGTGGGAAGCCCTTCCAGTGATCGCACAAGCAAAACCCCCCCCCAAAAAAAAAGAGAGAATGGCGGGAGGAGGGTCCAGGAAGGAAAGGGAAAGGAGAGAAAAAAAGAAAGATATAATGCTATCCTGTGCCGATTAGATGCACGAGATGGCGGCGTCGTTGTTGTTGTGTTGAGGGGAATTGAGATCTGTGAACACCTTCTCGGGCACGCTGCTACTCTTCCCTCTCGCTCTTTCTTGCCGTCGTGTTTTATTTGGTGAACCCTTGAGGAAACCACAGCCGACAGACAGAAGAAGGAAAACAAGGGGAAAGCAAACAAAAATAAAAGGGCGAGGAAACGGAAAATAAAACGAACGAAAAGGGAGTAGTAAGTCACCTCTATTGACGGTCCTTTTTTTTTTTGTGCATTCTTTTTGTTTCAATATCACCATGGCGACGTCCAATGCAGTGGTAGTGGTCAGTGCGGGCGATGTCGCCCTTCCGTCCCTGACGCCACAGTGCGTAGCAGATGAAATGCAAGTCGTGTCGGTGCTGCGGCAAGAACTACGCAACTCCCACGAGGACCACGACGGAACGGCGCATGTGAAGCCGCCTGCCGAGCCGGCCTACCGCACGGTGGACGCGAAGGCGCTGCGCACCCTTAAATTCCCAAGCTACCCTTTTATTATCTGTGAGGAGGCACCCTCATCGTATCAGGCTCCTATCCCCTACAACCTGGAGGGCGTCGTTGAAGTCATGCGGGAGCAGGTGCAGGAGCTGGAGTATCACCTGCGGGACAAAGAAAAGACCCAAAGCGAGATTAAGAAGCCTGCCTCCTCCTTCCCGTCAACTCGTGGAAAGAGGAGTAAGGAAGAAGGAAAACCGCCAAGTGAGGACCCGATGCAGATGTTTATTGATGTTGTTGGAAATGATGCATGCTTCGCCGATGTGTCGAGGGAAGTGTCAGTGGTGCGATGGTACACACGCTGGGTTGCCTCCCACTCGCTCTGTGCACTGAAGGAGGCAGCGGAGCAGCTCGAGTACGTCCTGAGAGAAGGCGGCATGCCGACCGAAGCTGAGATGGAGGAGGCCATGCGCCGCACAACATTTGTGGAGGCGGTGAGCAGGCTGGAGAAGGACCGAAATGCCGTTATTGAGGCGGAACGGCGACGGATGCGGTCCAGCACTTACACGTTTCGCGAACAGTTGCCAGCGTCTGCCATCACCGCCGCGACGAGCTCCTTCCTAACACCGGAGGAGAAGTACAGCTACCAGGAATACTACAACCAGTCCCAGCACACCCTTATGCTGCTCAACCACGCCATGCACGTGCACTACGCATCGCGGGGCCGTGAACCATCCCTTGTGTACTCGCGTGAGGGATCTCTCACCAGCGGCAGCTCCAAACCAAGCTCCCTCTCCCTTGCCGTACGAGAGGCGGATATGGAAGATGTTCGCCTTCTCTCAGATACCGTCGTGCGGGCGCTGCGGAAGGAGCGTGACAGCATCACGAAACTCCTCCAGAAGATTCACGAGCGTCAAGAGAGCGGTGCCACGGTGGGAGTAACACGCGAGCAGTACGCGAAGAGTCGTATGGCCGCGATGGCGGTGTATAAATGTCTCTTGGAAGATATCGACATGCTCCACACGCAGATCGCGGTGGCGGCTGAATTCCTCATGGACTACGATGGCTGGATCGAGTTCCGCTGTGGCGCCAGTCACGAAGTGATGGTGCAACAACTAGCCGACCGCACACAAGGGGCGACGGCGTCCTCGAAACCGCTCGCGTTGGAGTCACGATCGGCGTTGAACATCTCGCCTCCACGTGATCGATCTCTCTCCAGCTCGAACGTCAATTCCTATGGTCAGCTGCCACGTCATGTGGAGGAGTTGTGCGAGGCGCTCATGACACTCCTGCGACTTTCGACCTCGGGGAAGGGCGTCGACGGCACTAGCACCGTCCGCGAGACGATCTACCGCCGCTGGATGTGCCTCGCACTGCGCTACACGTGCCTGCAGGTCGTCGAAGGGCGATGGCCTGCGGACGTTGTTCTTGCCGGTATGGACGACATCGCGAGTAGCCTGACTGTCCTTCTTTCAGAATACAACTCCAACGTCGGTGCAGCGCAGTCTCATGTGGCGGAGCTCATCGGCGTCCTGCGGTGTTTTCTCAGCCTCGTCGCCGACGGGGCAGTGAGGCGCCGGGCGCAGCACGGAAAGCCGGCCGTGAACAACGGCGTCGTCTCAACACGCAATCTCGATATACCGGTTGCCTTCCGCCTGGACAAGGAGATCAAGACTATGGAGAGTGCGGCTAAGATAAGCGGCGAGGATGAGGACGTGTGGGGCGCCATCTTCGATGCGCTGTGGTTTCAGGCTGACCCGACGTCCTGCTCCCATGGAGGCTTCCTCATGTCGCGAGACTTTGCCATCGACACCAACAAAGGATTCGGTTTCCTTCGACTGGATGAGATCAAACTCCCGGAGCGCATACTCAAAACGCCGCCAGGGCAACGGCGATCCCCTCTACTGTACCTCCATTTACAGTATGTCATCCAACCTGCAGATATGTCACCAGCGCGTTCCTTGCCGCAGTTGATGGAAGATAATAAATCGTCTCTGAAGTCCACGTCCGTTGTGACGCGATATGGATACACCAGGCGTGTGTTGTACATTCTCTCAGTGCTAGAACAAAGGCAGCTTCTGCAAGATTACGCGTGCCGTATTGGAGAAGTGGACTTGGTCCCGCTCGAAAGCATTGTGTACTTCTCGCGCCAGCGCGACGACGGCCGCATGCCTGGTGACAAACCCATTCATTCTTACGAGTCTCTACCTCGAGGTGCTGGTAGCTCCTCGGCTATCCCAGCCAAGTATGTGACTGTCGTGGGACTTTTGCCACCGGCGGCAGTGCAGCTCATGCGCTACAACTCCATTCATCCAGGCTCAACATACCCTGTCTCCCACAAAGAAGGCTCATCGCTCACCTCCCTTACTCTGCTTATTGGGAATATGCTGCTCAGCATCGCCTCGCGCGTGCCGCCTGTGCTGAGTGAGATGTACCTGATGGGCGAGACCACCCGCGATCAAGGGAAGTGGGAGGTGAAGGACCACAATGGGGAACCGTCTAGGAAAGGCTCTGCGGTTGCTGCAACGAAGAGCAGCAGGAGCAAGGGTGCAGAAAGCAAGGCGCTCGTTCAGCCCATATTGCGTACGCTTGACGACTACATATCCAGCGCGGCGTTTGAAAAGATGATAAAACTCGCCGACACCGAGATGGGACAGCCGAACAACGGTAGCACTTCCACTCGCCGAAGTGCCTAGCAATACTTTAGGAGTGCGGGCTTGGCAGCGTCAGGAGCACCGATGTGTGGGTGAATCACCTGAGAATGTGGCATGCGGGAGTGAGAGGAACGCCTCTCGTGTCTCGTGCGGCATCAAACGGCCACCACCACCACCACCACCACACCTTTACCCTCTGCCAAGTCAACTCGCCATATGGGCAATCTGTCTCTTTCCACAGCCGCGGCCACGACGACTTATATTGTTGCTACCACGACGGCGCACTGATTGGCGTGAGTTTCTGTTTATTTACTCTCTCCATGTGCGCACGAGGGTTGGAGCAGGGAAGTGTGGCGCGCAATAATATCAATTTTTTTTCCTTTCGTCTTGTTTACGCCCCTCCCCTTCCCCCTCTTTCTCTCATTGTCTATTCATGCTGGGTGGGTGAGTGGTGCGGGCAGAGGCATCCGCGATGCAACCGTGCGATCATTGTATCATTCAGTCAAGTGCTGCTATGGAGGGGGGGGGCTCTTCGTCTTTGCATGCAAATACCCGCATTCTCACAAGACGGGTGCTATACGGGGATGTGAAGAATACACGCGAACACACACACACGTATCAAAAGAAAAGAAAAAAACAAAATAGTTCTTTTGTTGTTATTGGTTTGTTGCACGGAGGAAGGAAGGAAGCAACCGAGAAACCCCACGAAAGGAAGAAGAAAAAAAGAAAAAAAAATCAGAGAAAAGAACTGAGGCTGAATTTAAAAAACAAACAAAGAAAAAATGGGGGAAGGGCACATTTTTCCTTTAGCATTCATCTTCGTTATACCACTCTTCTACTGCCGATCCTTTGGTGGTGGGGGTGCATGCATCCACACACGTACGCAAGCGAAAACGGAAAGCGTCTCGGGCGTGCGGAAGACAAAAAAAAAAGGGATGGGGGGCTGTCGTGTTCCCGCAGCGTGTGCTCTGCCGAGGGGGACAAAGGTCTCGATATGTATCTCATTTTCAAGTGTTCCTGCGTTGGGGCGTCACGGCTGTCGTTGTTTGATGGCAACTGTGCACGGCTTATTTTGTTTCCTTGCGGCTTCATCTTGCGCCCTCTCCTTCTTCTTTTTTTCTTTTGCTTGATTTGGACTTCTCTCCCCCCGGCGTGTGCCACCGTTGGGGGGGGGCGCCACCTGTCCCAGGTGCTTAGTCGATCTGGGGGAGGAAGAACAAAGAGAGTGCGTATTGCCATTCATACATTGGATCATCTTTTTTTGTGTGTGTTATTGCATTCATTTGCATAATGGGATTTTCGAACGATGTGATCGCGGCGGAGCGGGCGCTGAGAATGTTGCGCAGCGCCTCGTGGCTGGTGGTGGGCGGCTACGGAGTCGCGTTGTGCTACCGCTTTGGGCTGTTCAGCAAGGTCCTGCCCAAGGCGGCGGTGGACACCGTCGAGGGTGTGGTGGAGAAGATCAAGGCGCGGACAGAGCCGCTTGGCGATGTCAGCCGGTACGCTGCCGCACGCAGTCACCTTGTCCGCGTCTACTCGCTGTCGGCGTTGGGGATGCTGACAGCAGCCGTCGGCGGGGCCGTCTTCTTCGCCTTCCCGAAGGTCCCTATTGCGGTGCCGGTGGCCCTCACTTTGGTGCCATCTGTGGTGCTGTTCCTCGTGCCACGGGAAATGATGCTTCCGGTGGGACGTCTCGCCTGCCTTTTCACGTCGTGCTTCGCCTTTGGGTACTCCTTTGGGCCAATTGGGTGGATCGCATGGGACTCGCTCGCGATATTCCTCACGCTGCTGGCGAGCACCATGGCTGGCCTGTGCGTTCCACTCTTCCTGACGCGGGGAATGGTCAGCTACGTGCTGAGCTCCCAGCTGCTGTCATGCACACTCTCTCTGGCTGCCGTGACGACGACGCCTTTGGTGATGGCAGCGGCAACAGCAGCAGCCACAGGCTCCGGCTCGACGAACATCAGTAAAAGCAGCCTTGATATTCTGCGTCGCGCTGATGTGAATGTTCTGATCACGATGCAACTTATCTCGAACTGGGGTATCAACCTTTTGCATACAATTCCTGTCATTATTCACTTCGTGCGCTGGGAAGGGACTAAAGAAGAGCTGATTCTCTCTGTGGATCCGGTGAAGGAGAGCATGTGCATATGTGCAGGTGCAGCCTATGTGATGTGGCGAAGCTTCCGCTGGGCGTGCCGCCGCCTCATTCTCACTGTTGCCACTGATGGCGCAAAGGACGCATCAGAAAAAGTGCACGAGAAGTGGGGAGACTCCTCGAGCAGCCCCTTACCGATGCAGAATGTCAGTGGCGTGGGGGCCTCGCTGCTGCTCGTGTTGTGGTACGTGCGGGCGGTGTCAGCCCTGCAGCGTGGGGAGACCCTAGCAATCTTAGACAATCTCCGCTGCGTGTGTGCGCGTGCGTCACCCGTAAGTATGCTCGTGGGAAGTGTCTAACGGGGGGCTCGTTTGGTATCGGAGAGGGGATTGATTGTCACACGTTACATCGTCGGGGATAGCCAAGCAATAACTGTTGAAGGCATTCGTTTTTGTTTTTAGCTAGCGCGACTCCTACTGCGCGATTGGCGCAAACTTGGCACATCCACACTTCTCCATAATTCTCGTTGGCTCTTTAGTGTCGGTTTATTTCATCCTTCCCCTCCTTTTTTTTTTTCTTTCGGTGCGGTATGTATGGGGTCGTGCGTTCATGTGCAAGAATCCGGAGATTAATACATAGCCAAGACCGTCATGGTGGTGACATCAGAGTGCCACGCATCGACTGTTATTGGCGTCCCGCCGTATGCCGCCGTCAATGCGTTCAAAGACATCACTTGTATCAAGGCGTTCGGCGTCGATGGCCTTGTGACGTGCTGCCTGCTCGAGAACGCGCTAGAGCCCACCGCCATCGGTGCCGTGCGTCGCGTCACGCTTGCACTGCCGACGTTCGAAGAGACAATCCTGCGCGAGCGGCTCGTGGCTGTGGAGCCGGGGCCGCACAGAACCACCGTCCGCATGGAGTATGTGCCGTGCTCCAGGGAGGAGGCCCGCCGCTCCCCCTTTGGCGCGGAGGGGACGCGGCTGCTGCTCGGCGCCAGCACGTGCGTCACCGTCACGGCGATCTCGGTTAATCCGAACAGGTGCTTCGTGGAGATGTCCACAACGTTCACAGTCAACTTGGAGGTGCCGCCCGACGGCGCAAAGCGGGCAATGGACAACTCGGTGTATCGCAATATTGCACTGTTCTGGGATATGTATGTGCTGCGCACAGTCTCTGCGCTGGAGAATTACCTCCTGTCCATTGCATTTCCTGAAGTTGGCCGCAACGCCGTTATGGAGTACCAAAATGACCTTAATGAGGCGGAGGAGGCGTTCTGTCGATGGGCTGCGAGAAGCAGCGCGACCATCCCTCGTACGGAGGCGATGGAGACACTGGAAAAAGCCCTCAATACATGCCTACGCATTCAACGCGAACTGAAGCATCAGCAGTTGATGAACGCGCGGCTGCAGGACGATGCGGCTGGCTCAATGGCAGTTGCAGCGGCAGCAGCTGCCGCTGCAGCTGTAGCGGCGGCGGAAGCAGCAGAGAAACGTGCCGCTTGTGCCATTCAGGAGGAGGCGTCGCCGTCCCCGCACAGCGACCCAAACCCGCCGCGTCGTACGACAGCGGCCGCACCTCTTGGACCTTCTGCAGTTAGCATATGCGCCAAACAATCAGATGAAGTAGAAAAGACGGTTGCAGAGGCGGATATTCGCCCCGGCACGCCGACGCCACAAAATATGACCTTCTTCTCTCCTGGTGGTGGGCGTTGTCTGAGCGTTCCGACTTCTGAACACGGGGAGCCGCAACAACAACAAGAGCCACAGTGCTCTGTCCCTCCTCACCGGCCTGCGCCCCTGGAGTTTCAACCGGAGTTCCTTAAAAACTTCTTGACGGACCGCGGTACCATCAACGAGAAACAAGCTCAGGCCTTATTCAGTATGCTGGACGCAAAACAGGACGGTTTCATCACTAAGCGAGGTATCGCCACTGTGCTGGGCCAGATGGACCCCTTGGGGCTGTATGAGGACAGAGACGGCACGCTGCTTCAGGTGACGGAGAGCCGTCAGGCGGTGGGCACCGGCGTGTTCCGCGGCATCGCTGCTGCTGCTGCTGCTGCTCCTTGTATTACTGCTACTGATTCCATACCAGGGGTCACTCCGATGCGAGAGTCGAATGAAACGGCTATGGAAGAAAAGGAGACTTTGGCGGCGCCTGCTCAGCTCACTCCACTTCAGACATTAGTCCGCCGCCACGACGCTCAGAAGAAGGTGATGCATGAGAAGGCTATTGAGGAGCGGTCCGAAGCCATGCTGAAAACCTACGCTTACAGGACTCGTGGCAGGCTTCACTACGATGAATTCTGTCTCATGATGCTACATCTCTTGAAGGAGTATTAACTGCCGCTTCGTGCTTTATTCTCCTTATCATTACCATCATTTTTCTTCGGACCCTTTTTCTCTGTTTTTTTTTTT